AAACAAAAATAATATAATTAATATAACTAAATATAAACCTTCTAAAAATATACTTATCGATGTAATCGAACTGAGTTGTTAAATGTTTGTTAGTTTTTTGTTCTTATTAATTTTATATGTAAATTTGAGGTGATAGACAATAGTTATTTGTACATTTATACATGTAGATTAGAAAAAAAAACTTTATCATTCTAATTTTAAATAACTTTTCTATTTACTATATTAGTTTTCTTAATATAATATATAAGTATCATATTGAACAAATAAAACAAGAAATATTTTAATTATATAATATTTAATATATAAGAAATGTAACTCAATTGGTAAATTAATAGGTAATCCTGGGATAAAATAACGAGTGATTTCTGAAAAAAAAAAATTATAGGAACTAAAAAGTTCACGTTTTAAAAATATTTTTAATAGAAAAATTGTAAACATAATTACTCAATATATACTACATAAAAAATATAAGAAATCTTATAACCTCCCTATATGTAATTAAAAAACATAAGTTTTCTCAATTCAACATAAGCAAGTCAATGAAATAATATATTTTTAAAAATTTTATGAACAAAAGTTGACTCGACAATATTATTAATGAATTTATGAATTGTAAATATTTAATTAAAATATTAATAAAAAATTGTAATTAAAAATAAGATAATATAGGATATACAAATATTGATATATAATGAGGCAGATGATCGAAAAAATTCTATTCTTTATATTATGTCTTTTTTGACAAATCTACAGTTAAGAATATGTGAAAAAACAAGATAAAGTTTTAAAAAAAAATATAATAAATGTAAGAAATAATATGAATAATAACTAAGTTGTGACATAATATAATTAATATAACTAAATATAAACCTTCTAAAAATATACTTATCGATGTAATCGAACTGAATTGTTAAACGCTTCTTAGTTTTTTGTTCTTATTAATTTTATGTGTAATTTGAGGTGATAGACAGTAGTTATTTGTACATTTATACATGTAGATTAGAAAAAAAAATCTTTATTCTAATTTTAAATAACTTTTTTATTTACTATAATAGTTTTTTTAATATAATATATAAGTATGATATTGAACATATAAAACAAGAAATACTTTAATTATATAATATTTAATAGGTAAGAAATGTAACTCAATTGGTAAACTAATAGGTCATTTTGAGATAAAATAATGGTGATTTCTGAAAAAAAAAAATTATAGGAACTAAAAAATTCACGTGTTTAATATATTTTTAATAGAAAAATTGTAAACACAATTACACAATAAATACTACATAAAAAATAATGTTTAAGAGGACTACAAAATTTTGCTATACTGCAATGAAAAATTCAACGGTAAGGTATTCTACTGAAAATTTCAACGAATATGTTGCTTTCATTGGCTATTCCAATAGCGTTCAAATTAAGTTACATGAACTTTAGTGGATGTAAAGATTTCAATTACCTGAATTTCTATTAGAATCATATTTCAATCGTTGAAAAAATTGTCATTGGTATTATGCAAAAATTCAATAGAAGTTCCATTGGAAAGATAATTGCAGTGATAGATCCAAAATAATTTCATATTGGGAGCATTATTTAGTTAATAGAAAAAATATACCATTAAAATAACATTTCATTGCAATTTATAAATTATACTTTACATAATCTATCACCTTTCTCATTTGTAATACATTTTAATAAATCTATGCAATCACAATTCACAATAAGGTAAAATATATTTAAGAAACCAAAAGTCAAGATTTTTCTAAAATCAACATAAGAAAATCGTTATATTTGTTGTAATTTTTGTTGGATTTTTCTCATTTTCTTGTAGTAAAACTAAGACTATAATATTGTGTGCAACTATTATTATAAAAACTTTTGATACGATAGAAAATATAACACATTCAATGTAATTGGCGTTCAATTTATGATAAGAATTAATTTTTTTCAAAGCAAACAAGATACATTGAAAGGTCATTAATTATTTTATTAGTATTGTAATAACTAAATAAGGGGTAAGAAAGATGACAAAACTTGTAACTCTCATTAAATCCAAAAGTAAAAATGCTGATAAAATTATTTAATGTAAATATCAATTGGAGCTGGCTAATGATAAATATAAAACATACTTAAGATACACATATATTTTAACTAAAACTTTTAAGTACATAATATATATACATATATATATATATATAT